CGATCCCGGACTTTAAGAACAAACTGCGGACAACAGAAGATCTGTCCGATCTCGAGGAGGCAGGGAAGGAGATGCTCGCTGTGCTAAAGGAGCTTATCAAGTACTCCCTCGCGGACGCAAATTATGGCCGTGTATGTGAGATTTTGAAGGTTATGAGGGAGGAGTATATTGAATATGATGAGCCTGGGATGTATAATGAGGTTGTGCAGGGGTTGAAAAAAGCCATAGTTTCTGGGGAATTAGATGGGGATAGGATGGAGTGTTGGGATGAGATTCGCTATAACAAGTTGGGGTTGATCACTAAAGGGGAGAGCGAGAGGGTAGAAGTTGACGATGCGGAGGCTAGGAAGGTATGTTTTTTTTTCTTCCTTTGAAATCCCGGGTACTATAATTGAGTTGATTGCTAACGCTTGGGTGTTGTACTGTAGTTTCTTTGGGGTTGAAAGTGGACCTGGTGGGGTATGTGTTTACGAAACGTTTCCTATGATGATAATCTTAGGTAGTCGAGATACACGCATAGCCCAAGGCGCTTCAAGAAGTGTTTCCAATATAGGCGCCTTCAAACGGCAGATTGTGACAGCACAATTGTACTCGAGCAAGAATAGACGCTCGTTTAACTACCCAAAGATTTATGAATGCCTGGTAGGGAATCTGTAAAGGCTGGCCGGTAGATGGTTGTAGTAATTGTCAAAAATAGGATACAAATGTTTGTATTGCAAGGTGAAACTTTGGCACCCAACCTTCCTGCAAAACCCTCTTAACTTGCTGGTGTGTACCATGACAGAGCGCTGGTATGATACCGGTATGATTGCACCGAATATGCCGTCGTTGCCCTGACGACCATCATGGTGCGGCTCTGCACAATCCCAATTTTAGGATACCACACACCAAAACAAACAGGACTCACGACCACCCAAAGGCCTGGCTACCCGTAGAGGTTCCTTCCCTCCACTTCCCTCCCCCTCCACCCTCTATCACCCCCTCTCGATCCTCCACTCGCTACTCCTCACATCATCCTTTCGCCCAACACATCATCGCGCATCTACTACTGCAGGTTAGTGCAACGCAGTTATAGCTTGTGTGTGTGTGTGTGTGTGTGTGTTTCTATCTCTCCTTTACACCTGTATAAAAGCTTTGCCCCCCCTGAACTGCTTGTTCGGTTTAAAATTCTCTACTTCACTCGCACAAAAGAAGTACAACAGCTGCTCCGGTTATATTTTATTTGTTCGCCATGGCTCGTCTGAGGTCTATGGAGGCGAGTGGTGCTTCGCCTGTTACTCCTAAGGTGAATTATTCCTACTCTTCTATCCCGGTGGTATGTCCGGTGGTATTAATGGGTGGGTTGACTATAGTCGGCACTCGATCGAATCGCAAAAGCCTCTTCAAAACTCAATTCCAATGCTACCCCCGCTACGACTCTCGAATACCCATCCCTGGCAAAACTCGAGTACCCTTCTTTAGACAAAGTCCAGCATCCGGTGATCCCCCTCACCACTCCGAAAGCGAATAGTCGTATTCCGAAATACGCGGCGACAACCGGGAAGAAGCTTGGTAACCTCTCTGAGAAGCTTGAGGATGAGGCCACCCCTCTTGTTAAGCCCGCACAGAAATTTAAAGTCCCTAGTACTGGATTTGAGTTCCGTGTGATCAAGACTGGTGAGAAGAAGGTGGAGGAGTTGGTCCCCCCGGTTTCCCCAGCGACTGCGGCGGTTGCTACACCTGTGAGACAGATTGCAAAGAAAAAGAGTAGGCGCTTTTCTGACGCTCACAGACGTCAGTTTGAGAAAATGGAGAGCATCACTACGCACTACGCTGCTAAACGCACTCCGAAGCAGCCGGTTACAATCGAGAAGATGCCGCGCGGAGTGAAGCGGACCAAGTCTCGTGCGGAGTTGGGTGATCGTGGACCGCCGAGCTCACCGAGTCCTGTCAAGATGCCTGTTGAAGGTCCTAGGAATGCCAAAGATGATGGTTGCAGTCCTATGAAGAGAACTAAGATATCCGCTGTTAATGAGGAGAAGACCACCTTGACCAGCAAACCAAGTGGGATTCCGAGACTGGGCATGACCCCAATTAAGGGGTTCAAGAAACGCCCTGCGACTGTGGCGAAGATTTCCATGGGTGGGAGATTGAACCTTACGCCTGCTACTAGACTTGCCAGTCTCGTTCAGGCCGGTGCTACTCCTTCGAAGATTCCGAGTGCTATAACTACTCCAGTTGTAGAGGATACAGATTCGGCACCTAACACCACCGCACTACTAAACCGGCACACCAAACTTCCAAGTATTGATACCCCGAAGAAAGAAACCAACCCCCTCGCTCCGCCCAAAACGGATGGTTTCACCTTCAGAAGCAAGGGCGACGGGATAGGCTACAAACGCCTCAGCGACATGCACTCCCTGAACTACAACCTCAACAAAGGCACCCCAACAGCGCCAACCCCATTGTTGACTCCCATGAAGATGAGCGCAGAAGACCCATTTGTAGGAATGGCCCGCAGAGCAGCAATAGAATGGACTCCTGTTGCTGCCGCGCCCGCTGAGAAACGTAAAGCTCCCCACAGCGACGGAGATAGTAGTGGTAACGGCGCTGGGTATGGAGAGGTTATAGATACGGTACAAGAGAGTGGCGCAAGGAAAAGGTTGAAATTTGCCCCTGTTGAAGAGCCTACCGCAAAGGCTACGGAAGCTAAGGAGGCTACGGCGGTTGCTGCGGGAGCTCCTGCGATGAAGAAGAAGTCTCTCATGAACCGTGGAAAAGCTATGCTTTTGAGGAGTAGACTGAACATGCTGGCTGCTCCTAAGAGGAGGGTTGAGAAGGATGCGGAGAGCAACGGTGAGAGGAAGGATAAGGATGTCGGGAGGATTAGATGGAAGTAGATTGGTAATTTTCTTTTCTTTTTCCTTTATCTTCTTAATGATTTCTATCTTATCCCTTTTGTTGGGCGTGGCGGTTCGACTTGTTAACTTCGGTATTGATTTGAGGGGTGGCTTGTGGCATAAACTTCTCTTCCTATTATACTTTTTCTTCTCTTTTTCTATCTTCCATGCCTTCCTTCTGTTTACCGAATGAAGGCTCATGAGAAATGGGGCGTTCTTTTTCCAGTTTTTTCCCTTTCCCTTTTTCCTTTTCTATATGTGAGATGTCCGGTTTTGATGTGTGACTTTGTTTGATTCGGGATTGGCGTTTAAGTTAATATATTCCCTCCGGGTGCATTGTTTCGTGTGGGTCATTGGGTGTCACTCGAGTGGGTGTAGTTGTGGTCTTTTGTGGAGTGAGATGGGGAGATGGCTTCGAAGGCCCTCGTGCTGAATAGCTAGGTTATGCTGAAGATAAGCGGACGCCTCCTTACTGCGCATTGGTTAACGTTCCTACTCCCATAGGAGATAAACCACAGACTTCTAGACAAAATTGTTTAATAGTAACTAGGGGAGGCATTGAGGTAGAATCAATCCCGAGAAGACCAGAGTCGAACATACTAGGGGGTGAATTAAAATAATTGTGTTCATTGCCTCCCACACAGCCTCCAACAGCTGCTTGATAACAGAGTTGGTAAGATCAATAACGGGTAATGAGAGCCGAAGCAAACCCAGGAATTGACCTAAGTCACTAACGACCCAGACAATCAATTGCGGTATATGCAAACAAGCACCTGTGTCCAATTTAGTTACGAAAATAATTACCGGGAATTAGCTGCTAAGTTATAGTGAAGGCCCAGGCGAAGAAACCATAAAATGAGTTGCTTCACCTGAGTGAACCTCCTTGGGCACTTTTACAATGCCACATGAGATCTTCCTTGTGCGATAAGATAATTTCGGCTTTTTTTTCTTCTTGGGAAATGAGGTGATATCCCTTCACTTCCTTCAAAGCATTAGAGTAATTGAGAGTCACGCCAGTACATCTAGAACAAGTACCATAAACAACAACAGCAACTCAATTGATCTCGCCAAACCATCACACAATGACTTCAGGTTCCCTTCCTCCCCTCCCTACTCTCTCTCTCCCACAGACAGTTAACCCTCCCCCCCCTCTACAGCCCCCCCCAACTCCAACCCCACCTCCAAACCCCCAATAGTCCTCTCAGCCCCCAGCGGCACCGGAAAACCCTCCCTCCTAACCCGTCTCTTCGCCGCACACCCCCAAACCTTCGGCTTCAGCATCTCACACACAACCCGTCAACCCCGCAGCGGGGAGACCCCCGGCGTAGACTACCACTTCGTCAGTCCCGAGACTTTCGAGTCCCTCATCGCCCAGGGCGCCTTCATAGAGTACACGCGCTTCAGCGGCAACTACTACGGCACCAGCATCGAGGCCGTCAAGGCCGTCGCGGAAGGGGCGCGTGTGCGTGTGGACATCGAAATGGAGGGCGTGAAGCAGGTGAAGCGTACGGATTTGGGGGCCAAGTATGTCTTCCTCAAGCCGCCGAGTTTGGAGGAACTTAGGGCTAGGCTTGAAGGCAGGGGCACGGAGACTGAAGAGAGCTTGGGGAGGAGGCTGGAGAGGGCGAGGGTCGAGTTGGAGTTTGCGGAGGTGCCTGGGGTGCATGATAAGATTATTGTGAATGATGACTTAGATAGGGCGTACGAGGAATTGGAGGGGTATATTTTAGGGGCTATTTCTTAGGATTTGCTAGCTGTTAGAGGGGGTAGATTACCCTCGAACCAAGGAGGGAAACACAGAAACGATTCCCTCTTTCAGCCCCCAGCGGGCCCAGCCAGGCAACTGAAAAGAAAAGAAAAATACCACAGACCTTACAAGGAAAAGCAACTCCAACATCCTCTCAATATTCTCAATTATTCCGGTTTTTACCGGAGATGTTTTAAGAAGAATTTCGACCCATAGCAAAAGCCCCACGCAAGTCACCTGTTATGATATCACTTTATTCTTACAAGAATGCCGCTCTCAAAAACCACTGGGAAAGTGCAAAAGGTCCTCGAGAAACTACTTGAAGGCCTCCATGGAAAGGCATCATATGCACAAAAAATACAGAATTATCAACAGCTCGGCTGGTCTAGTGGTATGATTCTCGCTTAGGGTCACCCTGAGCTCGCATGCGAGAGGTCCCCGGTTCAATCCCGGGGTCGAGCCTGTCTTTTTGCTTATAATTTCCACCCCTAGTAGACACTACAGAGAGATATTACCTACAGTATGAGGATTCTAGGAAGTTGGCGTTTTATATTTCCCTCCATGCGCATGATGCTGGATTGGGGTTGGTTCTTGATTCGGCCTGGCGAGGGAGGGGCTGGGAGTGGGTTGTGTGGCGCGAACTGGGGCGGAGAAGGAATGTGAATCTGACTCACTAGCAGCATTCCAGAATGATCAACACGGTACTTTTCTCCCAGCCCTGGACTCAACCAGACCATCCGACCACCCAGCGGGGAATTCTCGTAGGTCAAACAACAATTCTCGCCATTAGAGGGTTTGCGCAGAAAGACCTAGGTAGTGTCAACATACAGTAGGTAAATGACAAAGCTTGACGACCTCGTTCATTGGTCCCACCTGGTCGAGGTGTAAAAACCGTGAAATTGGACCTAGAATTGAGGGCACTAAATGCCAACTTCCACCACACTTTTTATGCCTTTGTGAGAGTATGATTTTGTAGCTGTGCTGCTCAAGAACAACTTTAACAAGAGTGGTTTTAGGGTACTTGAGAATCGGACACTGTATGACCTATTGAAAGGACCGAGTTTAAGAAGCCCAACATTTGTTGGCGGTCTCATGGGCTCTGGGACGCGAGCGACAACCTCTAGCAATACTATTAATAATCCCCACCTCTATTCCCAAATAATCCAGCCCTTCAATTACTTCTCCTTGTTAGACCCTCGCCCGTCTTGGCGCCACTGATAATAGTCCTACAAATTTGCCTGCCATTCCTTCTATCATGCTCGTATGACTTTTGGTTCTTGCTTTGGCCTTCCAGCATTCAGATTGGTTTATATGTCTGTCTCAGCCCCTCTTATTTTCGGTATTATTTCATTTTATTTGCTCCTGTTGCGAATCGTCTCTCAGAAAGCGGTAGTATTTTGTTGTTAAGAGAAGAGAAGAAAGGAAAGAAAGCATGAAACATGGAAAGGCAAACACCGGGAATACATTAAAACTTTAGGAGGCATGCGTAGAACCCGGTACGTATTCTACGCACGTCTAATATAACAGCTCCAATTTCTTATGTGCAAGTGTTGTGCGCCAACTAGCTGTTGAAATGTGCCATATGTTTTCTACATACCTTAGATGAAAATTTTCTTTTCACACTGATTAATGCTTACAATTATCAAACTGGGATTACCGGTCGTGACGCTCAAGACGTTAGGTCCTACAGACATGTCGGAGGTCGCGAGTTTTTACAAGTTTTTGCGGTGTGCCTACCGGTATAATAGAACCCTGAAAGTGTCTAGGCTCTGTCATCGTGTGTTACGAGTGATGTATCATGAGTGGATTGGGGGGGGGGAGAAAGGGTACTAATTGGTACAGTAGACATCTGCAGAATACATACTGGGTGCCGTGCATGAATTTCTACAACTCGATGATTTCCCGGTGTTTGCTTCATATAGTTCCTTGCTTTCTTTCCTTTATTCTCTTTATTTCTCTTAATACAACCACCGCTTCCTAAGAAACAATCCGCAGCACTAATCTCCAAATATCTACTCGTACAACAACTCCGTGTTTTGAGAGATATTGCCGCAAGGAGGCTCTCGGGGTTGTTCCCTTTGGCTCCCTAATTTGCCGTCTTCAATAAGGGCAATACTAGTGGAGATAGCAAAAACTCGGCTACACAGGTGGTGATCTCGGGTTATTTTTGCTAAGCGCAATCCTCCTTTGCTCTCAGGGCATAACCCCGCCGCCAAGCCCTTTAAAAAACACAGTCTCTCAACACACCACACGGAAAAAAACAAGCCCACGCCTGGAGAATAATATCGAAACTTCCTCCACTAGCCGACCTTAGCAACAACGACAAACGACCACACAACCTGCCCATCAGTCACCAGATCAGCAAAGATGGTTAGTTTTTTTCCCTTGAGAAAGACAATTCCGCCTGTTTGTGTGAAAAAAAGCTAACTTTTTTTGATAATTACAGGTTCGATATGCTGCTGTTCCAAATAATCCTTCGAAGTCCGCAAAGTCCCGCGGATCTTTCCTCCGTGTTTCCTTCAAGAACACTCGCGAGACCGCTCAGGCCATCAACCGCATGAAGCTTTCTCGTGCTATCGCTTACTTAGAGAACGTTAAGGGTCACAGGGAGGCTGTTCCTATGAGGAGATATTCTGGATCGACCGGAAGATGCGCTCAAGGTAGGCTTTTGGAAAGCTTTCATGCATCCCTTTTGCATTGAAATCGGGCCAGTGGAAAACCCGGAGATACGCGGGCTAGCAGGCAGCATGGAGGCGGCGGCTATGGGCTGTTAGGCAGGAGAGGGTGGTGTTGAACGAGTTTTAAGCCGAATTTTTCACCAAACCGATATTCCCGGCTAGAATAGAGATTGGGTTCGGATATAATGGGGGTGTGCTAACGGAGACTTACGTAGGAAAGCAATTCGGTGTTTCCCGCGCTCGTTGGCCTGAGAAGTCTGCTGAGTTCCTCCTTGGTCTTCTCCGCAACGCCGAGGCCAATGCCGACACCAAGGGTCTCGATAACTCCAATCTTATCATCTCCCACATTCAGGTCAACCAGGCCCCTAAGCAGCGCAGAAGGACATACCGTGCCCACGGTCGTGTATGTTACCAACCCGTCTAAGCATTATCCCGTCTAACTGACACTTCTTTTTATAGATCAACCCGTACATGTCAAACCCCTGCCACATTGAGGTCATTGTCTCCGAGGCCGACGAAGTCGTTGCCAAGGCCCCAGAGAACAAGGTCGTGAAGTTGAGTGCTAGGCAGAGGGGGAGGTCTTTAGCTGAGCAGAGACGTATCGCTGCTTAGATTTGTTGGCCTAAAAAAAGTTATGAGGGGTTTCTGGGTAATAGAAAATAAATGAAAATAAATTCAAAAATTTTCTACAACTCACGGCTGGATCAGACAGGGAGTTTCTCTCTTTTTTTATTTCTGTCTTGTACTCAAAATGTTATTGGGGTCTTCTTTTTCCCGTTTTTTTCCCTCCTACTCTATGCTTTCCTCCTTCTGGCATCTTTCTCTCTGCTTGGTTGGTTAAAGTGGAAACCACCCGGGATTTTTTTTTCGTACAATCACGGGGGTGGATATTTTTAATGGAGATGGCACGGAGGCATGGCCCGTCTGGGTTCCGGCCCCGCTCAATCAACCTTGGTTGTTACCCAGAGTCAGCGCATTAGTCTTAGTAAAATAATTGTAGGTGATGTTGTGCATTGAAAAGCCGAGAAATTCTTTGGCTGCCTAAAGGTTGGTTCAAGGGACCAGAACCATATAATATGCTATTATATACTTGATTATTAATCCCAATGGTCTTGGAGATCGTGATACTATCCAGCAGGAAGCTTGGTTGTGATTTGAACAACAGCTTTGGTTGAACTTGATGCCACAACACGTTGGGCTCATGTCAGCTGGCCTGAACCTTGCCCACCCACCAGCACTTCCTAGCCAACTAACTGCACTGAAGGCCCTGGGTTACTATCGTCTATTGGGGGCCCTTTTAAAACTACGGCGCGGTGTTGTAGCATGTGACCTACTAAATAACACAGTGCTTCAAGCTCGAAATGGAAACGACATCATGTGCCTCCTCTACGTGTGCCTGAGCCAAACATGAAGTGAGGCAGCATGAACCCTTTTCTAGGGCTTCACTAATTTCTGGCTAGCTCAATAAAGTCACGTTTTAATTCTTGGCAAGTGACCCTGGCTCCTTTCCCTATGTTACAGCCCGATATAATTTAGCCTTGAATTCACTGGTATGATACATCACTGGGACACGACACTATCCAGGCCATCTTAACATACAACACCATCCCTCCTCCTTCCTATTCCTAAGCTCTTGTCACCCTCTCCACTAAATCTCCACCTTCAGCACTACCCCAACCAATTGAGTATCTCTCAATTCCTCCCGTAAAAATGTCCGCCGAAAAGCCCAAACTTTCCAGCCTCATCCCCCCCATAATAATTGGCGGAGCCGTCTACAACACTCAAATGAACCCGGACCCCTCTACCCTCCCAGTCCGCAACCTCCTCGTAAAGGCCTTTTCAATGGGCATAAATTGCGTTGATACGTCACCCTACTACGGCCCCAGCGAACTCCTCATTGGCGACGCCCTCATTCAGCCGGCAATAACCCGATCTTACCCTCGCAGCTCATACATAATCATGACCAAAGCCGGCCGCATCGCTGAAGGCGAATTCGACTATAGCCCTAGCTGGATCCGGAAGAGCGTTCGTAGGAGCTGCGAGCGGCTCCATACCGACTATATCGATGTTGTGTTTTGCCATGACGTCGAGTTTGTCAGTGCCGATCAAGTTATCGGTGCTGTGAGGACGCTATTTGAATTGGCGGACGAGGGGAGGGTGCGGTATGTTGGTATTTCTGGGTACCCGCACAAACTCTTGGCAGAGCTGTCCGTGCGGATAAGGAAGGAATTGGGAAGGCCCCTGGATGTGGTGCAGAGCTATTGTCACATGAATCTGCAGAATTCAACGCTTTTGCAATCCATGGATAAACTGAGGAATGAAGGTGGTGTGGACACGGTGGTCAATTCCTCCCCGTTGGGTATGAAGTTGCTTACGGGAACATTCCCCGGATCGTTCCACCCCGCACCGGAGGGGTTGAGGGATGCCTGTGCGAGGGCTGCCGAGTTTTGCGAAGCCCAAGGAGAAACGTTGCCGAGGGTCGCGATGCGCTGGGTATTTGCGAATTGGAAGGGCGCAACGTTGAGCGGGGTTAGTTATCTAGAGGAGTTGGAGGGTAATATTGGGGCTTATATGGATGTTACCGTCAGCTCCGAAGAGGATAAGGAAGGGAAGGTTACGTGGAAGGATGTGGATGAGCGAAAGGTGAAGAGGTGGGAGGCATTGTGGAAGGGTGTGCAGGAGATATTTGGGGAGTGGAAGGATTATAGTTGGGATAGTCCACCGAGGAGTTGGACATTTGGGAAGAGGCAGAGTAGACTGTAGTTCGGCATCCATTCTTTCGGA